ATTGGGAGATTGGAGCTCCCACAAGGCTTGGGGTTAAAAACCTCCTTTTACTTAATATATAGTACTAGCCTATCACCCGTGCTATGCACGGGATAAATATAGATATTTATATTTGTTTTAGATTTTTTTTTTTTAATATATAAATTATGTTTTTTAAGATTTTTTATAAAAATAATTTAACAATCTTATCACTAACCATAGTGTATGTGAGAAGTTGAAAAGGGTACTGCAATAACTATACACGGATTGTATCTATAATTATTTGTATGAGGGGATTTTAAATGCTGATTAGTGAATTTTGACCAAATCAATAAATGCAGGCATGTGGAAAGACATGTGGATTGAAAAAAGTTAATAAATACTGATCAAAGGATTTTGACTAAATCAAACGATCTAATTTTTTATTAAATTAAAAAAAATAAAATATTTAAAAAATATTTAAAAATAAAATAAAATTATATACTCTAAAATAAAAAATATTTTTTTAAATCTTTAAATATTTACAAAAAATACAACACAATTACATAAAATACAGTACATTTAGTAAATAAATAAATATTTACACTAAAAAGTGACATAATTTTTTTAAAATATTTAAAAAAATAAATCAATTTTTTTTTTTAAAATACAACTCAAAATTCATTTCAAAACTCACAATCAAATAAATTCTCTTTTCAAAATTCATTTCAACACATAACTTAAAATATAATTTCACACTCAAATCACGATTCTAAAAATAATTTTAAAAAATAAAATAAAATAAAATAAATTTAATTTTTTTAAATAGAATTTTAAAAGTTTTAAGTATTGAAAAAAAAAATTGAATTAAATTTTAAATTGGGTATTTGATTGAGTTCTTAAAATAATTTTGAAATTGAGTTAGTGAATTGTATATTTGATTATCAATTCTGAAAAGAATTTTAAAATTTTTTAATTAAAATCACGATTCCAAAGGAGAACCAACGGCAGGCCAAAAAGCAACAGCAGCTAAATAGCACTTTGAAGCAACAAAATTCAGAGCATACATTTCAAAATTGCCACAGGTAAAAGAAAAAGAGCAACGTTCAGCAATAATCAAGTAACAAACTTTTTTTATCAAACCAAAAGAAACACTGCAGCATAGCATTCATCAAACACAAAATAAGATCACCTTAGCATTTCCAGTGTTGCACGTCTCTGACTTGGCTAATAGAACCAATTTACTTCACTGGACATTTCATCAATCAAGCAATGCCAATGTGATTGTTACGATAAACTTTACTTAAAGACATTAAATTAAGTGAATTGTATTAACATCAGTCTCATGAGTAGCCAAAAGGAACATATGTGACCATATGATAGGGGGCATATCTAGCAATAAAACATTACCCTCTTGACATTGTCTTTAAGGGCAGGGAGGGGTCTAACAGGGGCATTAGCACCTGGTACCCTTGTGCTACGTGCACCTGGACCAACCATCATGCCTGCACGGCCAACCGCTGCACTGCTCATTGAACCACTATCGGATGTCTCTGGTTCCATGTAAAATCGAGCACGGAAAGCTGCCAGATGAGCATAGTATGCAGGAGGCACTGACAAAACAAAAAGGAAACAGCAAATAATAAGATATAAAACTAGAATTTGCTAGTTACATTATCATTAAACACAAACCAAAGCAAAATCATAGGCACAAAGAGCTAACCAATGGAGACAGAGCGTGTGCACCTCGCATATCTGCAAAGAATTATGAAACCAATACAAAATTACACCAAAATTTTAGAACAGGAGGGCAGAAACAACCATCAGATGCACAAATTTTCTGACATAAGTTGATGATTCAAGAACAATAATTGAGAAGGATTAAATGAACTAACCTAAACAACAAAAAAAACAAGACCATTCAATAACAAAAACTGAAAAGGATCAATCTATGACGATACAGGCAAGTTAATAAATTTTGCTAATATTGTCTGAAAAAGAGTCTCTGCAGAGTATACGTACGTATAGCAAAGGTTATTTGTCAGTGATTGGAGCCCATCAGCTGTGAACTTGTTCTCATCCCACAACACATGGTAGTGAGCTGGTCGACTAGTACCCTGTCAATCACAAGAAACTCACTGAGCAACAAAATCCAAAACAGTGATTAAAGCATACATTGAACAGTGAATATGTAGGCTTTACTTGAATGCCAGCATGACTGCATAAATAGAAGTCAAATTCAGTCGGATGGCAGATTTTGGAATCCACAACAGTACCTGTAAATTTCACATAAAGAGGTTACATCACAAGGGAATTATAAGCAAACATAGTCATTGAAACCATGATGATGCATCATGCTTGCTTTCTTACCCGGCAATATATTTCCACTCCTGTCCACTGCATTTCGATCACGATGGTTGTTGGCAAACAACCTTGTGTGATGCCGTTTCTGAACCACAACGAAAGTAACTGGGGGCTGATAGTTTGGTTCTAAAGACGCACATGCCTACAAGGTTTACAGAAAAGAAAAAATTATATTTTTCGTAATTTCCAGTCTGATGGGATGAAGAAAGCTAAATGACCAAGGAAAGTAAACCAGGAAAAATAATCACCTTCCGGATAGCATCAAGTTCATAAAGCAAAACCTGATAGAACTGTCCTTCACTGACACCGTCCCTGATACAACAGCACAATACAGTGGTTAGGCATAGCAAGCACAAATTTATTTGGCTGCCATGGTGTCCCAGGACAGGTCCGTCCACACTGTAAAGCAAGTCACTTGGATTGCAATGTTTCTTGGTTTAAGCAGGACTATTCCATGATAACCTATTTTGCTGAATGAGTAATGAACTTTGGTTTAAATTCCATTTCTTGAAGCATGTGAGCACTGGGGTCGAGAAACAACTTTTCTCCAAATTTGTCAAAAACAGGTTATTTTGATAGAAAGAAGATATGAGCAGATGAATGATGTCAGCATCACTTAATTGGGCTAGGCCTTTGGTTGTGTTTTATGGCTATTTCTTGCAACTCATCCTTTCGAATTATTGTCAACACCTAGCCCATCAGGCAAGAGAGGTTTATTGTTTCTTGAACTTCAGTGTAATCATGCTAATTTTTGGGCATAAAAATTGCTTACTTCAAAAAAAAATAAAAATAAAAATAAATAACAAAAAGCAAAACAACCCAAACTGCATGAGACAAAAGCAAGAGAATGTGATAGTACCTGTAAAATATGATCCTCTGTGGTTTCTGCCCTGTTGCTCTACGGAAGGAGATGAGAAGTTCCCTGACATTTATAAGAACAAAATGGATATAAAATTCAACCTACTAAAAACTATCAATTTTCAACACAAACTAAAAAACAACAGTGCACATTAAAGGAGGAAGGATTTCCACATTTTTCTATTCTTTCCTTTTTTACTGTTTCGTTTTTTATACAAAGAGAACAGAAAAGAGATTGTTAATCATACTTGATCATTCCACCAGTCACAGTTCCTCTTACAGGATCTTGCCAGGATTTGAACAGATCTTGGATGAGTTCCTGGCGATGCTCTTGAGCACAAACCAAACCAGCATATTTTGTAACCTCTGGCCAATCTTGAGAAGCAACAACCTAGAATTAACCAGAAACAAATAACTTCAATAATAAAAGTTAGGAAATGCACTGAATCTAGACACATGAAATAAATGCATCACAGAAGTCGTGAAGTTATCATACAGCCGCAATGGAAGGGCTTGAATCTTCGCCAGGATGAGGATGGGTAACATCAGCACCAAAAATGATGGTAGGTAGGTCGCTAACTAGAGGTATGCGCCTTGATATTGCATCAACAAGAACTGTATTCCTTCCCCCAACTTTCACATTAATTTTTAATGCCACATTGGCAAGATACTGCTTGCTCATCCGAAATACATGTTTTGTCAAACAGCACTGGGAAACAATCCCAAGATCTGTCTCACAAATACGCTTCAAATCACCTAAAACAGAAAACAGAAAATACAGTTCAATGACAGAACAACACAGCCTAGACTATGGGGCCCAAGACATGAATAAATAGGAAACGCAAATTGGTCGGTTGAAATCAATTTCATACCATAAAGAGAGCCATTGTTATCTGGCAGAATAACAATTAGCAGGTCAAGCTCCTTGCCCTGAGGCTGGAGTTTAGTCATCGCATCATGGAACCGAGCTTTCAAGACTCGTTCTACCTGATCAGGACGGGCACTCAGTGGTGCGAGCACAGGGTCACGATTAAATACCTATGCAAGGCCAAGCATTAAAAGTTCAGTGCAGAGAACTCAAAGCCATCTTGTGTATGAGAAATAATTAGAGTAAAGATATCTCAAGGCCCATACCATGCCACAAATAACACACATTTGTGCAAGCTCATTACAAAAGCCCCGAGAAACACTGTCTTGCACGTTCCGTGAAAAATTTATACAGATCCAATTGTTTACAGTTCCCCCGTTGACCATTTTCTGCAAACAAGTACCAAGTAAAATGATATTGACCAAAAAAAGATGAATATATATCACTTAACTAGGACCCACAAAAGATAAGAATTCACATTTTCGATATACTATGTCTGTGCCCCAACCACTCGTTTGAATAAATATACTAGTCCTTAACCAAAACAGCAGATGATTTGATATTACAGTCATATAAACTCCAAAGCTTAACTTGATAAAAATTCATTTACAAATTTGTGTATTGACGTTGATGATTGACACTTTAAAAATATTAGTAACAATAAAATTGCAACACTAAGTTGGTATATATACATATCTCCCAGTAAAAAACAATGTGTATAATTCAAAAAGATCACATGCTTGAATATGCTAATCCAATTTTAAACAAGATAACAATACCTTATTCATCATGTTCCATTGACCAACTTGTGGAAGGCAATCCTTTTCCCTGCCGGTATCATGGTATTTAAGCTACACAGACAGTGCACATCAACGGATGCCAAAGCCATCAAATTAGCATTTTCAAAAGATGCATACACCAAAAAGATGAATCCAGCAACAATGAAAACAAGATTGGCCAATTACCCAGGGAGCAGGCAGAACACGTGCTTCCACTGCAGCTAGCTTCTCACTAATTTTGATTCCGAACTCTTTTGCATAAGGATCATCAGCATAAGCATTGTGATGAACAGTCTGCAGATGGACGAAAAATGCTGAGGGTTTTTCCACAATATGGCATCAGGTACTTCTCAGCAACATTCCAGTATAGGTGTATTGCTAAGAACATGTGATTTCTCCAGAGTACCAGATTAAGCATCTGGTAGCTTGTACATTTTGAAATTCAACAATTTACATATGTTTCTATGTATTTTTATTTTTTTGGCAGCTCACATATGTTTCTACGAACAGAATGCAGAAAACGGACTTGAATTTTTTTAAAGTGGATAAATGGCTAATGTACTTGTTCATTTTCTTTTCTTACTTTTTGCGTGTTTTATTTGTCGGGTGGGGGGGACTGATAATGGATTGGTCATTGGACTTATGGAAGCACAATTTTTTAGATAAGCAAAAATAGGATATATAAATCACGAAAATTAGAATTCCACAGCACTTGTAGAGCAAACCGATATGACACATGAGAAATTAGAGTTCTGTGGTACAAAATAGAGCAACCAAGAAGACAACCACATAATAGCAAAGCCAGAATAGACTTGGCATGATGTAAAAGACCTAAGTCCTACTATAAAAAAAATTTTAAAAAAAATAAAAATGGCCCTTGTACAGTTTATACCATCTTCACTCCATATTAAAGAATGATTGTTACTCGTACAAACTTATAAATGGTTAATAAAATTAAATTTAAAACATACTTAATTCCCATAGTATGACATACACAAATAACATGTCAGTGCACATAGCATACACATCAATCCCTCTAAGAATCCATAAATGCACTCCTAGCTTCAGGACACATGTTGGCCTCATTTGGAAAGAAGCTATTTTAGCCCAAAAAAAGCTAAAAGGCTAAAAAAAACCAAAAAACCCAGGCATGTTTGGCCCGCATCTAAAAAAGTTGGCTTCTACCAGTGTAAAAAGACCAAGATACTGTCACATTAAACTTTTCCATAAAACTAAAATAACGGTAAAATGGAAATTTTAGACAAAATCCAAAACATCACATCAGTTTTTCACATTTTTCTATACAACTAAAAAAGACACAAAAAATCATTTCCAAGCACAACTTTTTTCACCTCATAAAAAAAGCCAAAAAGCTACTAAAAAGGCCTCTTCCCAAACGACACCGAAGTGAGATTCAGTTCCTACAATGGACACACCCAATGGACAAACAGTTATCCTTAATGAATCAATAAAACCTACTTCCTGATATAAAGTCTTCTGTTAAGCCATCCATGACACTAGTTTAGAACTATTATTACATACATCACAAAAACAATTTCGAATTATATTACCTTCATTACTTCTAAAAGTATACCATATTCTTAAATCCAATCTCATAGAAACAAACAGAAAGGTGTTTAGCTAAATAACTTAATCTCCATTCTTTGGTTTCCGGTATGACAACTATTTCTAATAGCCAATCCCCCAAGTACGTGTCTCAAAAGACACACAGAACTTGTAGTTGCATACACAAATCATAACAGCCACTCAGGATATTAGATGTTACACCAGGGGAGTAACATTAAACAACCAAACACATAAATTTACCACAAAAACGAACCTGAAGAATATCCTGCTCCCTTTCTTGAGGACGCTGACAGGTCACCTTAAGCAAAGCAGTAATTTGCCTCTCATTCAACCTCTTGGAGTACCTCTGACCCTCCACAATCTTGCACACCTAAATTCATGAACACAGTTTGGCATCAACCATTTTTTATTATTTTACTATTTGACAAATAGGTTTGCACATCAACACACACAAGGGAACAGGGTTAAAAGGGAAGTGTTGACCTCCATAGGCAGATAATTTGGCCTCTGCTGATTCCCAACTTGTAGACAAGGCCATTGAGTATGTTGGATCACAAAACCATAGGTCTCGTGAAAGTACTCAACAACAGATTTCATTGTCCCTCTTTCATCAACTGGGAAGCTAAGACATATGAACAATAAAAGACTTAGAGAAAAGACATGCAAAGAGAATCTCAACAAAATGCAGAAAATTATAGAGGGGAAATTAACAATTTTCATCAAGGATCACAAACTACACATTGAGTCTTACGTTAGCTCTCTTGTTGCCTGTGATGTTAAACCAGTTATTCGGTATTTTCGGCGCATATTTCCACGGTGAGTAACTTCAACCTTCACTCCCCTCAAAGCTTTCTTGATCTGTTACACAAGTAAGCTATCCAGATCAATGACCCAATTTATCAACTTAACTGCATGCAAGCTGTGCATTGAATGAGTAATGTTATACATAAACAGACTTCTCACCAAATGTTCTTAACACTAGACAGAGAAGTAGTGGGGTCGTCCACATTAATATACACGTGGGAACTCATGTAAGAAATCCGTTTAAGCAGCATTTTCCACATTAAATATTCTCTAAAGAACTCCATTTGAAGAAACAACTATGTAGGACGAATAAATTTGGAACAGAAAGCAAAATTAACTCCTCATAACAAAGTGTTTACATAGAAACACAGATAAAATTTGGGGAAATTACAAACAAACAAACAAAAAAAAAAAAAAAACTTACTTCGAGTCTTGTAACAAAGTAAACTATGAATTTTTAATTTGATCAATTTAAACCCTAAACTTTTTATTTGTTTTCAATATAAACTATTTTGACTATTTACATTGAGTTCAATTAATGAAAAAAATGAATATTTCATTCATTAAACTCAATGAAAGAATATTCTAGACATATTGTGTAGCTACATTGAGTTTAATGACTAAAATACTCCTCTTTTTTTATCGGGTTTTATTTAACAAAAATAGGCAAATAGTTGAGATTAAAAACAAATCAAAAGATTAGGGTTTAAATTAACAAAATTGAAAACTTTATTTTGTTACTAGGCTAAAACCTGGAGGTTTTTTTAAAAAAATTATCCCTAAATTTTTTTTAAAAAAGTACAAATTAAGACATAGTGAGAGAGAAAATTAATAGGTTAAAAATGAAGTAGGTACCGCAAGGTCAAAAAGAATGTACACAGTAAGAACAGACAAAAAATAATAAATTAACCAAGTGGGTAACTCAGTTGGCCAAAACTTATGCATCTCATCAGGAGGCCAAGAGTTCAAGTCTTGCCGAAGGCAAGAGTTTCCCCCTCCCCAGGCTACAGCTACCAATGTACCCAAGAGACAGAGACAGAGGAACAAAAAAGAAGTTTAACAAGCGTGCAGATGTGCTTTATCTAAATTAAAGTTGACTGGTAGTGAACTTAATAAAATGTTCAACTTAGAAACCATTATTTAAACAAACAACTGGAAGAGGCTATAAAGTCAACGCAAAAAGAAAATTGACTCCCCAAAAAACAAAAGAGAAGTGGGAGAAAATGGATCTTCAAAAGACAACCCTGGACACAGAAGAAGCAGCATAGCAAAAGACAATAAAATCAGTACTCTGGAGTCCAATTAATAACATAAAATAGTTGTCAATATAAGAAATGAATATTATCTCACCTTCACACGATCAGCATCAGACAATGGTCTTGAAGACACATCCCTAGTCAGAAGCTGAGTCACAAAATCAATGACAGGCAGTGGCTCAATAAAAGCAGTGGAGGACATATCTGCACAAGTAATTCAAGTTGCAATGATACAAAAACACAATTAGCCATTTAAAAGGAGAGACTGACTAAGAAGTGTAGGAAAGAAGTATTGTAGCATCACATATTGCAGGATCAACTAGCATAAATTGTGTCAGTACAGGAGCTGTTAAAAAATTGTCAGGATAAGTAAAATCACAACAAAAAACTGTTTACCTATGTTCAGTGACAGCCCCATCTGAGTTGGACGAATGCTTTGGTAGAAGCCACGCCAACTTTCTAGTCCTTCACCCAATGGATGCCTTCTCCCCAAATCAGGGGAATAAAATGAGCGGCCCACGGGACAATATCTACCACCAATTCCACAACACTAGCTAGTCATTACAACTGAACTAGGAAAAAATATTTAAAAGGTAGTGGCAGTAACACTACTAGTACTAGCTTATCAAACCCAAGAAAGATAAAATGCAAAAGAACCCCCAAAAAGTACTAGCAATGCTAGAATGATATTAGCAGAATCATATGCCATGGAAAATCATATTCCTCACCGCATTGTGGGCAGTTCACGCAAAACAATGTCCAGAACCTGAAGAGCTTCTTGCGGTGCATCGGCCTGCCTTCCTTGTAAAAACAACCCTAAATGGTGCAGGTCAGCACGTGCAGCCAATTTTATCACAACTCTGAATTCCCTCTCTCTCCTGTTTCAAGGGGGGAAACGTGACGGATCAGCAAACTAAATAAATAAATACAAGAGTACTTGAATGTTGGCTTACTAACTTTCAAAGAAAAAGAAAGAAATTAAAAGATAATGTAAGCAGAAAACCTAGCACCGCCTGTTCCATCATCTTCATCAATGAGAGTGATTTTGAACTCTTTTGAAGTGAAAGGGAGAGGACCCGCAGTATACAAGCTCTTTCTTCCATCATAAGCAGGAAGCCGCTTGCCAAGATGAGATTCCCGATACATTTTAACTAGTTGTTCCATCACAGCACGGTTAACGCCTCGAGATGTCACCTCTGGGGTAATTGAAACCTAACATGCAACAAGAAAAAGGCTTATAACCATGAAATTTTCAGTTGCTTTTACACTGAAAGAATACAACCAGAAACATGAAAATAATCAAAATACTCACATCATATTGGTGCAAATCCTTGTCTGGCAGTTCAGCAAAGAAATGGTTAGCCTTGACAATACACCTGGTACCACTGCTACCCTTGCCTGGACGAAGAGGAAATCTCATTGATTTACTCGACGGAGGCGCAGGCTGGATTGCCTGGCTGGAGGTCCCTTCTTCCTGCAGAGAAAGCCCCTGAACTTTCGACGTCACTTGTGAAAGGCTTGGATCAGGTACCGGGGATGAAGAGCTGGCCTCACCATGCATCTCTGCTGGTTTTGGATATGCCACAGGCTGTGTGGTCACCCCGGCCTGATAAGAAGCCTGGGTTGCTTGGTGCAGCTCGGGAACTGGTGGTCTAGAAGGCCCACCAGCAGAAGGTACAACCCCAAGGCCACCACCCACGCCACTACTGCTGCTGCCACCACGCCGCTGCTGTGATACCCCTCCTCGTGGCGGACCTCCCCTGCCTTGTTGGTGATACTCAGGGGGCCCACCATAATACTGCTGACCTGCCATTCCACCACGCTGGGGTCCACCACCACCGCCACCACCCCCCCGCCCACCATACCCTCCACGACCTCCTTGTTGAGATTGGGGACCCCATCCTCTACCTCCTCCTTGGTGACCACCTCCCTGCTGCTGCTGCTGCTGTTGCTGTTGAGCTGGCGGACGTTGGGCACCACCACCACGGCCTCCACTTGCTTCCTGAGACTCAGAGCTTTCTCCCCCACCAGGAAGTTCAGTTCTCCTCTTCCTCACCATGATAATACCTGCACCAAACACAACACAAACTTATTTATGAAAGACTGGAACAACAAACAACTTCAAGCATTGTGCAAAACCATATGATTGAGACATGAAAGAAAAAGGAGAAACATAACAGGCACAATCAATCACTCCTCCCCTATAACAAGGATAATCCAATGGTACCATCCAGATTTAATTATAAAGTGTGCCGTGCCCATGAAAAGACAAATATAACCAATAGATAGGTTGAATATAAACAATGAACAACCAAGGCCACAGTACCTCTCACTAACAAAATTTTTAGATGGGACAATTTATGGGAGACCCCAAAAAGCTGGGCTGTAAACTCCTACATTTTTAAAATTAGTATTTTTTTTAGCTCATTTTTCAAACTACATATGAAAATGTGGTTCCTGAAATGGGAATTTAGTAACACACTACTTCAAACCAGCTATAAAATAGATGTCTGTAAATGGTCATATTACAAAATGTGGGAGCATTTATGTTTTCACTAGGGTTTGAATATATAAAAAAAATTAAAAAAATTAAAAATTAAAAAATATGATGACTAAACAAATTTTCAATAGATTTCATGTAATTTGGGGAATAACTTGGAAAAAATCCCTTAGTTTTTTTGTGTTACTGTGTAAACATTTAATCATAAAAACCCAAAGTTAAAGAACACAGACAGCAAAATAATAAGTACGTCCAGTGACTTGCACTAAGAAATTAATCCATATACCAAATCCAAAGCGCGATCACATCGAACAAATTAACAATAACAAATAAATACAACAAAGCCTCTTATACCAACACCAGAAAGCAAAAACAAAATCGCAAAATACCTGAAGCCCTAACGGGAAAGCCATTTTCAGAACCACTACACATAAAATAGATTATAAATAAATAAATCTGAAAACACAGGCAAAAAGGTTCACATCGATAGAGAAGATCTAACCAACTTAAGGCACAAGATCACCCAAAAAAAAAATATTTAAAAAAAAAAATGGAGCAATAACAAACAAGAGACGGAAGAAGCGAAAACCCAGAAATCGCAATGGATCCGAGTGAAAAAGAGTAAAGTGAAGCCAATAGAATGTAGATCTGTACAGAATAATAAGCCAAAATCAGTAAAAACAAGCAGAAATCAATTAAGCAGAGAGAGAATCGATTCTGCAGAGAATCAAATATGTTTGACCAACAACTAAAACCCTAATACCGCTATCGTTTACCTCAAAACCACTCTTCAAATACCACTTCCCGTCTCACTGCAAAGGAAGTAACAACAAAACCAAACCAAAAAAAAGAGGAGAAACAAAAAGCCAGAGGGTTTAATTATTATAGTTGAGAGAGACAGAGAGAGAGTATATAGTAGAGAGAGAGAGAGACACACACACACCTATCAGGACACACCTATCGGCCCTTTCTCTTCTCTATTCTTTGGAAAAATCCCCAACAACACCATCCACAATGCTTATTTAAATGAGCCAGAGCATTGCCAAAATGACAGCCCTGCCCCGGTTCTCCGTACACGTACACACTTTTTTTTTTTTTTTTTTGACCTCTTCTGCTATTTTAAAAATATAAAAAAAAAATAGGAAATTTTATTATATACGGCTTGTATTATATGCAATTTTAATTATTTTTTTAGTTATGATTAATTTTATTTTTTTAATTATAATATTATTTTGAGATATTTATTTATAATTTTTTTTGTGTTTGATTATGATTTTAGTTTTTAATTATAACTCAAAAATTATAGAGTTAGAGGACCTTCAATGGTGTGCCATTGGAGCTGCTATTGTTAAATTATGGCAACAATTGATAGAAATCTTTGACAATTGTCAAACCTTGTGTCAAATATGCCAAAGCTGCCAAGTCAGCTTCAACCAACAGTTTCCTCCCTCTTTTCCTCCTTTTTTCATCTTCCTTTCCAAACATAGTTTCATATTCGCCCAAAAATCACACAAATTTCCAAAATCACACAAATTTTGAAAATTTCAAAATTCACCCAACAATTTTCAAGCACAAAAAATTAAAAAACAAAATATCTGAAGCAAACAAAAAAATACTTGACAGAAAAATTAGAAAATCAAAATTTAAAGCAAACAAAATTAGGGTTTCAATTTCACCAATTTGAAGCAAACAAAATTAGAAAAAAAAGGAAAGAAAATCAATAGAGTGAAGTCAAAAAAAATACCTGATAGAAATGGGTTGATTTTCTTTGTGTTCTTTGGATGATCTTCTTTGTGTTTATCATTAGCGTTTTAATCTTCTTCGTGATCTTGTCCAACATCGTCGATTCATTATAGGAGTCAGACAGAGCGTAACAGAGAGGCGTAAGAGAAACAAATGGGTGGGGGTAGACGGCGGCAGTTTGAGAGAGGGAGACTGACAATGAAAGTGAGGGGGAGGAAATGTTGTCTTCGACGATTAGGGATAGACACCATCACCGATCAAAGAGAGAGAGCAGAGAGTGAAAGTGAGAAGGATCGACACCATCGCCGCTCGAACAAAGAGAGATGATAAATGAATCTGAGAGTGAAAAAGAGAGATACGGAGACTGAGAGGGACATGGAGGAGGAAATGGTGAAAGAGACAGTGAGAGAGAGATTAATAGAATGAGAGAGGGGAGAGGGATAGAGTGAGAGAGAAAGTGAGAGAGATCGACACCAGAGAGACGGAGACTGAAAGGGACAGGGATGAGAAAATGGTGAGAGAGACAGTGAGAGAGAAAGAGAGGAATAAAAGGTTAGATGATTCTACACAAATCATCTCAACCATTGATGACCAACACGTGGACGGTGGTAATGAAAATTTATAGAGCCGTTGTACTCTGTTTGGCTTAAAAAATAAAAAAAAATAAAAATAAAAACAAACACCAACGTGTGTCAAATGGTCATATCTTCAAACGGCTACTATATTGAAATAGTAATATTTTGAATTTTTATAAATAGAAAATTGATTGGTAATTGGTAATTATTTATTTTTTATATGTAGTTAAATTTTTTTATTAAATATGTAGTAATATGTTTTTTGGTGTGGTGAATTATATTTAATTTTTTTTTTCCAATTTTTCAATTTTTTTTTAAAATTTTTTCTATTTGTTTAGTTTTATATTTGTTTGGTCGGGAATAATATAAATATATATATATTTTTTTTGCAAACAATTAAAAAAAGGTCACAAAAGATAAAAATAAAAAATAAAATCACAAAAAAACCTATATCTAAATAATACTTACAAACTTTGAGGGAAAATTGATTGAGATTTGTCAAAATAGTAAATAATCATTGGAGCACCATTGCTATAATTTGGCAAAATAGTACTATTCATTGCCAAATTATAGCAATGGCAATGACAATATAGCAATAACCATTGGAGATGCTCTTATGTCATTTTTCTGTAATTATAAGGTGTATCAAGATTTTATCACGAAGGGCCCAAAGGTAAATAAATTTTTTTCATTATATATACAAACACACGTATATATAATATGATATATAAACTATAAATATAAATATATAAAAAAAAATCAAATACCATAAAAATAATCTCTATTATAATAAATAATTTTTTTTGTATAAAATACAAAAAAAATAATGTAAGATGACAGAATAATGAGATTTTTTTTTTCATACTAAGAAGTTATTTTATTTATAAAATAAGGTAATATATATTTTAAAAGTATCATAGTAAACAAAAATTTTCACAACAATAGGAGGTCATCGCCTCGCGTTGTCTTTTTGTACCATAGTTTTTCCCATAAAAAAAATATCCTCTTATAACAACATTTATGCCATACTCTGGATTGAGAGCTAAAAAGAAATGATTAAAATTTCTTACTTATTTGGTAAAATAAAATATTGTGATTTATCACATTTTTATTTAGGTGGACTATGACTTTTTAGATAGGGGATGGACTATATGATTGAAAGATTAATTTTTTTCTCACAAAATCTCACAACTTTTGATAAGAAACAAAGCTTAAGTTTAGAGTGATTTGTGTGATTTATGTTTCTTATCATTTTCTTTTATTTTTCACCATTACTCACTTCATTAATCATCTAAACAAGTAATTAGAAATTTTATTCTCTTCATTTCTTTTCTTTTCTCGCTAAGACCCTCAATCAAAACAAAGTGTGAGGGCTATTAATAAATGAGAAATATGAAAAGATATCTCTCTACAAGTTTGTGTAAGAGTTCAAGTATAACAATGACTTGTTTAGTAATTAAGGTCTATAAGGCTTCAAACTCTAGGAGAATAAGAAAATATTTTTCTTTAAAATACAAGAATAACCTTGAAACCATAAACCTTATTTTCCATAACTCTTTCTCTTCCACAATATTCTATTTACATTTTTTTTTCCTCTTTCTTTCACTTCGACATGCTTCAGATATGGAAGTTTGTTATTAGCTCTGTCCAATATCGCCACCCCTATCACCATTATCATGATCAATTACAGCATCGCCTCCTACTGTTACTGTCACCGTCTACCACTGCCACTATCAATTACCATCATCATCGATCATAGCCACTATCTGCCACCGTTTGCCACAGCTACGACCACTATTTTCCACTGCCAGCATCCCTCAACTATTATTATATTCACATCTCTATCAAGTTTATTTGTGATAACAAAATTCCTTGCATAATCTTCTTTGATTTATGTATGTTTATCTATTTTTTCTCCTCATTCTTCTGTGTGTGTGTGTGTGTGTTGTCTTTCTTCTATTATTTTCTAATCTCTTTATATTGCACAATAAAAGTTCATCGTTTTAGAGAACTTTCATTGAGACAGTACTTAAAATTCATCAATTTAGAATACTCAATTTGAATTATATACAAATTTGAAATTAGGGACTTATATTGATACAAAAATTTCTCTGAGTTTGGATAGTGAAATTGTCACAGTGCAAAAATCAATACAATTTTGTTGTATTTTCATTTTACTTTCTTCAGTAAAATTTCGTATTTTTTTAAAAAAATTTACACGAACAAATGAGATGATTATAAAAATGTAAATTTGGCAAAAAAGTGTAAGTATAAATAAAAAGTTACTAAATTTTAAAGTTTTCAAATTACCTAAAAAGTGGAAAACATTATTGGTAGGAGTATTTTCGTCAGGTGCATTTTTGAAAAACCTAGCTAGTATTGAAAAGTTTATTATCCTTATTCTTCTACAAACTTAAAACGTGGGAGTTAAAAAAATTTCTCCTAATAAAACACTACAAAATATCAAAATATTTATTATTTCAATGCATATTTCACATATTTCAAAATATTTTTATTTTTTAAATACATTTTTTACACATTTTTTTCAACACTAATGATAATTCCAAAGGCTATTTTTAGCAATTTCAATAAAAATACTTCTACTGTGTTAGTTTGCCACTCAATTGTTAGTGATAGCAACTCCAATGCAAGAGGCTACATGTGTATATTAGGTATTTTTGCTAGTAAAGTTTTATTTTGCATCTCCACCATACTCTTTATTAGAAAAGACATTTTTATCTTATTTTATTTTGACTCTCCACATTGTATCTAATGTAGAAAGCTGGACAAAAGTATTTTTCAGCTATTGTGTTGCTCCATCTCTATTTCTTCTGTTCTAACCCATCAATCCTTGTTTTATTTATTTTTATTACATTTCAATCCTTGTTTTATTTATTTTTATTACATTACTTATATTTTATAAATGGAGATTGTTAGTCTTATGTGATAGGAATTTTTTGCCATGTCTCCTCAACCTTTATGCCAAGTTATTTATTTAAAAAATCATATCGAGGATCATGGTATCACTAGTGGCTTATGTGGTATGTCATTAAAAGTATAAAATTTTTACGAGTCATGTTATTATATACATCTCTTTTGAAATGTGTATCATATATAAGTTATGGCATTTGTAGTATTGATTAACATAAATGTCATAACTAAAACATTTTTAATCATAACTAAAAATAATAATGAGGCATCGTTTGGGAACAGACTAATTTAGTAACTTTTGACTATTTGGCTAAAATATGAGCAAAGAAAATTAGTATATTTGGGATGACTTTTTGGCTTTTTACGAAAAGATGTGTAAAAAGTAGAAAGAAAAGAGAATCTTTGACTTTTTGATATGGATTGTTGGATTTTTGACTAATTTAGTAACTTTTTGATTTTTTTGGCTAAAATGGAGTGTTCCCAAACGAGGCCTCAAAACTAAACAACAAAAAGATACAACTAAAGACTTTTATTTCTTTATTTATCATAATTAAAATAATGTCATAACCAATATCATAATGAATCATAACTAACATCATGCTAAGTCATAACCGAATTATAACTATCACTAACTCAAGATCAGAAACGTCATAATTAGGGCATATGGTGCACATCCTAAATAAGGTCGGTATTATATAATTTTTCTATTTTTATTTTACATATATAACATTTTCTTTTGAAAATTTACATTCGTTTGGCATGTAGGCTAATTTGGCTTTTTGGTTAAATTAGCAACAAAAAGATAAAATAAGCTAAAAAATCAATAAGATAAAATATCACATCTAATTCATAATTATTTTACCTTTTTATCATAAAAGTTAAAATAATAAAAAAGTCCAACCCAAATAAATATTTTAGCCGACATGCCAAACGAAGGCTGAGTTAGTTTAAAATAAAGTGTGTTGACGTAGTACAGGCAAAATAAACATTATTATGTTTTTTGTGTATTTTTTCTTGTCATTTTGGTAGGCAATATATGCACAGTAGTGTTGGAGCTGCTCTGATAATCCATTAATAAATAAATTAAAAATTTTCAATAATAACGTTAATTAATAGGTGAATTACTCTAGCCTTTTTTTTTATTATATTTTTTTTTACTTCTGAAATTATATTGATATTTTTTTATTACAGTTATTATGACTACTGATGTGAAATTTATATTTATATTTTTACTTGTCTGCAAAATATATTTTCTTAATAATCTAATTTTATGTGAGAAAATGTTAATCACCGAGCGATGGCTAATATTGGGTCTAAAACGTTGTTTGAAAAATGTATAAACAATTATTTAAAACATGTATAAAAATAAGTGAAATGTATATTAAAATTAAACCATCATTAATAGGACCTTTTTATATTTTTAAGTTAATTCTAAAACTAAACAATTTTAATCCTAATTTAGTTTTTCCTTAGACATGTGACCAACAAACCACCAAATAAACACCACTTCTCTTATGCCCTTGTGCATATGCATGCCTTCACGAGTTTGACCAATTGGAGGGATTTTTATCCGATTTGCTTTCACTCTTTGGGTTGGTTTGGGATGTTCTAAAAAAGTGCACTTTTTGACTTATTGGCTTATATGGGTTGGGTTTGGGTTGGGTTTGATGTGATGTGTTAGAGAGGTGATGCGATTTAAATAAGATGATGTGACTTAAATAGGATAGTGACTTTTTGACTTTTTGTATTATTTAGGTTATGCCAAACTTGGCCTTTGTATTATCTTGGCCATTGTTGCTATGATGGATAGTTTTTTTTTTTTTTTTTTTTTTCTCCAACCTGTTATGCCTGTATTCGTTACGTTTGAGTTCTTGCATGAGACAACGCATTTTGATCATCTCATGTAGTGCAATTTTTGTATGTGATTGATCCCTTTACACTTGGTTTGGCCCCATCTCATGCTTTTTTGTGGCATTGTTGTTACCTATTTGAGTAAGTTATGTTTTGCTTTTGTATGGATTGCGCCTTACGTTGTTCATATAATGGCTTGCTTTTTTTCTTTTCCTTTTTTTTTGTAACCTTTTCACAGTGGATTTACTTTCCTCCTCTATGTTGTGCCATTTGTCATGGTCATTTTCATAATATGTTGGTCTACTACATATGCTTTACTATTGCCGTAGCCTATTAATTTGGGGGTATATAACATAATTCACAGTTACACATTTTAGACATAAATTTTGATTCAACACTTTTCAATGTGATCAAATGACTAATTTAGTTCAACCCACATGTCAATCAAAGGTCACCAAAAGCTGCACCTAGTTTTAAAGGTGGCAATGGCAATTTAGTCATTTTCTCCATGATAAATTCAATAAATTATTAAACACGGGTAAAAACACAAATTAATTTCACATTTATTTTCAACTATCTAATTATGTTCTTTACCTTTTTATGTTTGGCTTGTAAATAAAGACAAATTAGTTTATTTAACCGCGCGGAGTGTTTAAATTATCAATAAAAAGTTATGCACTATTTGCTCATTTTGTGTATTAATACACCAATAGATTAACTTATTAATTGCCCAAGTCTATTAGTAACTATAAATACTTTAAAAGTCACAAGATTTATGATGATTTGATATTTTTAAAGTGAAACTCTTTCACTTACCTAAATCATATTTATTGTATTTTATAAGCCCCATCCATATATTTAAAGCGAAACTCTTTCACTTACCTAAATCATATTTATTGTATTTTATAAGCCCCATCCATCTCATAAATGATTATGTCTAAATTTAGAATGAGGGGTCACTATTGTTTCTTGCTGTGCATTTTCAACTATCTAATTATGTTCTTTACCTTCTATGTTTGGCTTGTAAATAAAGACTACTTAGTTTGTTTAACCGTGTGGAGTGTTTAAATTGGACTTGGGGTCACTGCTGTGCCTTTGTTGTGCCTTATTTTGAAATGCATTATAGGCTTATTTTTATAATCTGAACTGTTCATTTTGTAGGATTTGTTGAGTACTTCAAACCTACCAAAAATCATATTAATCGAATATCAATAACTATATGATCGAATTGCATATTTTTATACTATTTTTCAAAAGAAAAACTTCTTGTTTATTTTTTTGGTTATCAATCATATAGTTATTGGTATCCGATCAATATGATTTTTGGTAGGCATGAAGTACTCAACAAACCTTACAACATTAACGGTTCAGATTATAAAAATAAATCCATAATGCACCACAAAATGAGGCACAACAGTCACTGCTGTGCCTTCCCCAATTCCGTTTAAATTATCAATAAAAAGTTATGTACTATTTGCTCATTTTGTGTATTAATACACTGATAGATTAACTTATTAATTGCCCAAGTCTATTAGTAACTATAAATACTTTAAAAGTCACAAGATTTATGATAATTTGATATATTTAAAGTGAAACTCTTTCACTTACCTAAATCATATTTATTGTATTTTATAAGCCCCCATCCATATATTTAAAGCGAAACTCTTTCACTTACCTAAATCATATTTATTGTATTTTATAAGCTCCATCTATATATTTAAAGCGAAACTCTTTCACTTACCTAAATCATATTTATTGTATTTTATAAACCCCATCCATCTCATAAATGATTATGTCTAAATTTAGAATGAGGGGTCACTATTGTTTCTTGTTGTGCGTAAAACAACGCCGTCTTAACAAATTTCTTCTTCTTCTTCTTAAGGAAATCAAGATTTTCATGACCCTTGTCTCTTCTTGCTTCATCTCCATGGCTACCATTCCACAGCAACCATCAAACCCTAACGTCATGCCAACATCAACCTTGAACGTCGTCCACCACAAAACCAATTCATCGTCTTTTTTCTTTCTTCAAATTCTAGTGTGCTCTTAAATTTACAACAATTACAAAACCTTTTCCACGGTTCTCTGTCGTCAGGATATCGCTAATTCTCCGCCATTCAAATTTGGGTGATCGGGATTCAGGACACCGCTAACTCTCCATAGTCACTCTACTGTTCAGATTTGATTTTTCTGTTAAAAGTCGACTCCACCATCGTTATTGTTTTTTTTCTTTTTTTTCTTTTTCAAATCCTGCCGTGCTTCCAAACAATCAAAAAATTAATTCTTCAAACAAGTAATATAAAAACTCAAAGTTGTACAACCAAACTTAAACATGAAAGCTTGTTTATGACTGGTTCAATCATTCTAGCAAATTATTTTGGTCCCAAATAATCAACAACCAATTCAAAAAAGTAATATAAAAGCTCAAAATTGTACAAATGACGTTAAATATGAAAGGTTATTTATGATGGGTTCAACCATTCTAGTAAATTATGGCTTGTTTATGACGGGTTCAATCATTTGTCATGGTCATTTTCATAATATGTGGGTCTACTACATATGTTTTACTGTTGTCGTTGCCTATTAATTTAGGGGTATATAACATAATTCACAGTTACACATTTTAGACATAAATTTTGATTCAACATGTTTCAATGTGATCAAATGACTAATTTAGATTCAACTCACATGTCAATCAAAGGTTACCAAAATCTGCACCTGGTGTTAAAGGTGGCAATGGCAATTTAGTCATTTTCTCCATGATAAATTCAATAAATTATTAAACACGGGTAAAAACACAAATTAATCTTACATTTATTTTCAACTATCAAATTATGTTATTTACCTTTTATGTTTGGCTTGTGAATAAAGACTAATCAGTTTATTTAACCGCTTGAAGTGTTTAAATTATCAGTAAAAAGTTATGTACTGTTTCAATTTGCTCATTCCGTGTATTAATACACCAATAGGTTAACTCATTGATTGCCCAAGTCTATTAGTAACTATATATACTTTAGAAGTCACAAGATTAAGTGAAACTGTTTCACTTACCTAAATCATATTTATTGTAATTTATAAGCCCCATCCATCTCATAAATGATTATGTCTAAATGTAGAATGATGGGTCACTGTTGTTCCCTTCGTCGTCAAGATATCGCCAATTCTCCACCATTCAAATTTGGGTGATCGGGATTCAGGACACCGCTAACTCTCTACAATCACTCTACTGTTCAGATTTGATTTTTCTGTTAAAAGTCGACTCCACCATTGTCGTTTTTCCTTTTTCTTTTTTTCAAATCCCAGTGTGCTTCTAAACAATCAAAGAATCAATTCTTCAAACAAGTAATATAAAAACTCAAAGTTGTACAGATAAACTTAAACATGAAAGCTTGTCTATGACGGGTTCAATCATTCTAGCAAATTATTTTGGTCCCAAATAATCAACAGCCATTTCTAAAAAGTAATATAAAAGCTCAAAATTGTACAACTGAACTTAAATATGAAAGGTTATTTATGATGGGTTCAACCATTCTAGTAAATTATTTTGGTATAGTGGGTTTACTGGTGGATGCTCACCAGAGTTATGGATCCTTGTGAATGTAGTTGACAATGGAGGTTGGTCTAACATTTTAGAGAGAGAAAAAAGAATACAAGGGATTGATTGGTTTCAGCCATGGTGGAGAAAGAGAGTGAAAAAGTGATGTAGTCCAAGCAGTCTCAGCAGAGACCCTGTTTGGTGGTGGGGGTAGGGATATGGCTTGTTGATGGTGGGTTACCGTTGAAGGGATGGTGGCATGACGTTGGGTTTTGAAGGTTGCTGTGGAATGGTAGCCATGGAGATGAAGCAAGAAGTAAGAAGAAATAAGGGTCATGAAAATCTTGGTTTCCTGAAGAAGGAAAAAAAAAAAAATTGTAAAAACAGCACCATTTTACACACAGTAGGGAACAGCAGTAGACAAGAAATGATAGGACCCCTCATCCCTAAATGTATGATCAAACAATTTTTATACAAAATAATTATTATTTTCATTAATAACTGGATCTAATTGGTTTGAAAACATACATCAAACAATTTTTATACAAAATAATTATTATTTTCATTAATAACTGGATCTAATTGGTTTGAAAACATACATCCCAACACATAATTATAATTATCATATTAGTATCAATATGGCATCATATGAAGCTTTGTATGGGCAAATGAGATATGTCTGGATCTAAAATGGTTAAAGATAAAATTGAAAAAATGAAAGTGGTTCAATATGGCCTAAAAATTACATGGTCACTAGAAAGTATCCATGGATAACAGGATGATGGATTTGGAGTTTACACAAGGAGATGAAGGATTATATGGGTGTCATTGTGTAAAGGGTAATGCGATTTGATTATTAAAAAAAAGAAAAAAAAGAAAAAGTGAACTAAGTCCATAGTATATTAGGCCTTATAAGATTATTGAATATTTAGACTACAATTTACTAGTCTGCATTGTTGTCAGAGTTGTCTCAGTTGCATGATATATTTCATATATTAACGCTCCAAAAATACCTATCAAATTTGTAACATATGTTGGCTACTTAGCCAATATAGATAAATGAGGATTTGACTTATGTTAGGGAGACGACGTATATTTTGGACTATCAATGTCAGATTGTATGTAACAAAACTATTTATCATTAATGAAAATCCTATGAAGAGGGGCCCCACAGCTTAGAAGGCAATTTAGGACAGTGAAGAGAATGTACGAGCACAGTATTGCTACCACCTTGCAATCCAAAACTAATGTTGGTTTAATCTCATAAAAGCATGCTATATAAAAACAACGATTCCATGTTTTGTATTACAATTTTTATTTCAATTCATAATATCCATGATCTTGTTTGTCATGCACACAACATAAAAATACAATTATTAAAGAATGTAGTTTATATTTACTGAGAAGAATTTATATGATGATGATGATTATGAAAAAAAAAAAAGAAAAAGTGAAATAATCGAATGAAGGGGCACAAATCTAGGCAATCAGATGCATCCAGAACTACGGTTGTGGCCAAACCTTCTAACTCTTTTGGAAGAAAAAAAAAAAAAGGGACTTGCACAGCAATTTGTAGTTCCTGTTCATTTCAAATCATAAATGCACCATAATGGGTTCAAGAGGAATGAACAACCTTATATAGCAGCACTTCAGTCGCATCTGCAGAATTTTGATCATATACAACTTGGGAGTCAGCTAGGTAGTTCATTCTGTGATCTGACAAGCAAAACATTTGTTTCTAATCAAATCCAAGCAAGCTTTTTGTTAGATATATGACACAAAAGGACGTAGTTGAATGTTGAGATTATCATTGTTGCAATTGGTCAACAATCAACCCTCCTATTTCAAAAGAAAATTAAGAGAACTCCAGATAATGTTTTTTATATACATCATTGCAAACTTTATTAAGTTCCCTATTCTTCTTCTTCTTTTTTATTTATTTTTAAATCTTCTTCATTAACTTACTTGCCAAGTAGCACTGCAGTAGCAGGAGTAGGAGTGTCTTTGCATTTTTCTTGCCATGCAGAAATTGACCCTACTTTCTTCTAATATTCAACCAATCTATAATGTTTTTCACAATCATTTCTCTTTCAGGTTCAAAGAGTAGATCGTGCAAGAATCCTTCAAAGAGTTTGATGGTTTTGTCAGTTGAGGAGGCCTCTTCATACAGTTTTTTAGAAGCCTCAGGGTCAGTGATAGTGTCAGCAGTGCCATGGAGAACTAGGAAGGGTACTTTCAATCTTCTCAGATTCTGCTGCAAGTATGCTGTGATCCGAAGAATCTCATAACCAGTCCTTATCCTGATGGGTCCAGTATACACCAGTGGATCTGAATACTTTGCCACAAGTGCATCGGGGTCACGAGAAACTGGAATGCCCTGCTTGTTTGCGGCACTAAATTGGAGTCTTGGAAACAAGAAAGAGAAAACTGGGGCAAGTACCTGACCGGCCATCAAGGAAATTATGAGGACTTATCCTTTCCTCATCAAAGAATATATATATATATTTTTATTTTTATTTTTGATCGGCGAAAGTCAGTTGTTAGTTGTTAGATTAGCACCTATGGGAGGTAGCCTCTCCAAATTTATATACATGAAGGAAAAAAAAGAATTAAGCCCAATTCCAAAATTTGTCTTTACCTATATTGATAAAAAAGAAGTCCACTTACCGTGATAATAGGGTGGGATGGCTGAATTCCTACAGCAGGTGAAGTTAGTACAACACCTGCTATACAGGTTTCAAGCTTCGGCTCAAGTACTGCCTACAATCATTCATTTATGTGAGACGGTGGAAAGTCTAATAATTCCCACACCCAAAACTTAGATGGAAGTATCAAAAAGCAACATACATATCCTGAGAAATTAATCGTTCTAAACCAACCTCACCTTGAGGACTATGGCTGCACCAGTTGAGTGGCCAAAGCAGAAACATGGAAGTCCTGGATTTTCAGCTAAAACCTTTCCAATAAATGATTTCTACATGAAATTGCAGACAAATGAGTAAATATCACATTTGCACCCAAGACATACATATAACTGTCACGAGTATCTTATATATGCATCTTTTAATTGAGCCTCAAGGCATACCGTACCGTGTCTGTAACAGCATCATCAAGAGAGTGAACATACGCATGCAGCCCATCACTTCCACCATGTCCTAAGTCATGTAGAAATTACGAATCAGATAAGGAAAAATATTAAGTACATACACATAATCAAAAGCTACAAACCACACACACAAAAAATAAACTACAAATCTGATTAGCTCAAGCAAATACACCAGTCAAATTTGCAACACCATTTTTCTGAGCAAATAATGTCCCTATATTTCAAGAACCCCCCTTGGAAAAGGAAAATAAAGGGCGTATCCAATGCATGCACGAAACTTCCGCTCAAGCGGGGTCTGGGGAAGGGTTGATGTACGCAACCTTACCGCCGCAAACGGAGAGGCTGTTTCTGTGACTCGAACCCGTGACCACCAGGTCACAAAGGGGTAGCTTTACCGCTACGCCAGGCCCACCCTTCCCTTGGAAAAGGAAAATAAAAGAAGAAAAATAAAAAATAAAGCAAGGGAGAGAGAGAGAGAACAATAACAATTTAATTCACTGGTTCAGTGTAACTTGTTTGGCATTGTATACATTTGAATTCCACAAAGACCATTAGAATGCTCCAATTTTGCATAAAGCATGAAAATAAGGTTTATAGAAGAGCACATTAGTTTCCGGAGTTCTGTTACTTCACTCTCTTAGGGTTTTAGATTTCCTAAACTAGCATGTGTCCTCCCTTTACCATTCTTATACACACTAGGGCAGATGCAAATGATTTTGAGCTTACCAATCCAATCCATTGCATAAACCTTGTATCCATTTGTGTTCAGCTCCTTTGCGAATTCACTATACCTGTCACTGTTACAAATGTTGTGCATGTATTTAATCAGTGAATCAAGTTACAGAACCAACTGAACTTGATAATTAAAATATATATCTGAGAGTAATACAAACCCGTGTTCATTCAGGCCATGCAAAACAACCACAACTCCCCTGCACAGGACAGATGAATATCATCATCAACATTTAGTCCAGTGGTTCAAATATTAAGTAGTACAGTCTTGGCTTTTTTGAAGACCATAAAAATGTTGAAACCATCCAGGTTAATTCCTGAGCTGAGAAGCACCACCAAGTAGCTTCCACTCATTCTCAAACTCAACTAAGAAGGTGTTGAACAAATTTGGTTGAACATTGGCAGAATTAGGATCCTGGTTACATACTGGGAACTTTTTCTTGGCCAATCTATTTTAAATAGACCAGCCTTCCTCGCAATTTCTTAAGAATCATAATAAAAAATATGGAATTTTGTAATGTAAAATAGAATATTACCAAGCTAACAGAAGATATCATACATGAAATCATATCATGAATCTTGGAAAAAAAATAATTGAGGAAAGGACTTATTAGAACAAAGAGAGTCAATTGAAATGTTAGAAGAAACAATTTGTAATAACTTCATTTTCTTGCAATCCATACAAGATACCACTTGTGAATGATGAACCAACCTTGTTAACTTCAAAATCCAAATCCTTTCTTGTTTTTAATTTTTTAATTATTTATCTTCCTTGTTTTTTTTTGTCAACTTTATTTGACAGTATTGTTGAGCACTAAAGTAAGGGCAAATCCATCCAAATATTTGCGGAAAATTTGAACTTAAGCAAACAAGAATTGAAGTCAATGGGACCTCATGGATTAACAAAAAAAGTGATGTGATGTGATCTAATCTACTACAAGTCCATCCCATAGGCCATTCCACCAATTATCCCATTAAACAAAAGCACCTCCATGGTTATCACATTCCAAAAGAAAGAGGACATGTCTCTCTCTCCCAGCTTAGTGGCATTTCTATACCCTGAAATTGCAGAGCAGATAACAATAATGAAAAAAACATTTTCATATCCTTGAGATGTAGTCCAGCTATAGCCTATAGGGAAATACTCAGGTGATGAATAGCGTAGAAAAAGCAATGTGTGGTGGAGATTCAATTTCAAGTGTGAGTCCCACTATACAAAAATTGAATCTGAGAACATAGTTTTTAACGGCAGGCAAGTGCTGCTGAAATGGATGTGAGAGGAGAATATGCCTCATATTCTGCATTTCTCCAGGAATAGCATCAAGCATGATGAAGACAAAGCAGTTCATTATCATTACAATAAGCACCCGATCAAACCCTAAGATTCAAATTTAAAAGGGGTCGATGAAAACAACAATAAACAAACAGCCTCAATGAAAGTGATCAATGCTTACCTGATTTCTTTGGAAACAGGAGACCACGACTGCGTGAACATTGTGTAGCCTCTGGGCGTAACGAAGAGAGAAAAAACCCTGCGTGAATTGTCATCGATGAAGTGTGTGACTCTCTGAATAGCGAGGGCTCTCCTGGCCGCCACCTCCTGGTCGACAGCGCTGCTCTTCCAGGGCACAGAGGCCGGCACTCGCACCAGTCGTTCCCCCTTCTTCCTCCTGCTGCTGCTGTGCTGTTTATGTTTGTCATCCTTCATTTTCTCGCAACAAGACCTTAGCATAACCAAGGCATTGATGAGCAGGAGCAAGTTGTTGAGCATTCGCAGCGAGAACAGCGCGTTGACGCGTCCGCTGGCGCCCGAGGTTATCATCACCGAAGAAGCCGCGAGGACTTGTTTCGGCATCGATACAGTTGACGATGATGACTTGTTCAACCCTAAAACTCCCCCCAAAGCAGGCACGACGCAAACGGCCTTGGATTTCAAATTAAAATTCAAACTCAATTTCCTCTTAGTGACATGTAATTGAAATGGATCACCACCAAACCCAATTAGAATGTGTGATTCTCTAGGAATGGAAAATGTTTGGATCGACAAGCAGATCATATAAACTGGCTAAATTTAGCACCAGCAGCTCCTGATATGGTGGCAGAAACTTCTGCCAAGTTTAGAGGAGCCTCCAAATTAATAATAATAATAATAATAATTGTATATATATATATATATATATATATATCCAATCTAAACAAGATGAAGATTGTTGAATGTTGAGTGATTTGGTGTGTAAAGTGGCAGAAGATGATGGATTGGGATTGGGATTGGATTGGGATGAGAGAAGAAAACGCAGTGCGGCTGATTGATTGTTGTTGTGTGAGGAGGAATGGGAATTCGAAAGGCAGGGCTTGGTTGGGGGCTTGGACAGTGTTTTTGTTTCCTGCAAAAGAAAATGGAGGAGGTGTGTTTGTGGGGGGGAGGGGAGAAGAGCGGGATAGGAATAGATATGGAATACTTCTTCGAGTTGCAGCTGGGGACGGTCGATCAGTGGTGTTCAACCTCCTTTGTGATGATGCAGCAGCAACCTCTTCTTTTTTATTTATATGTATCTATTTTGTAATTTGTAATTAGCGTTGATATATATATATATATATGATATATATTTAAATTTAATTGTACAAGAGGCGTGTTATAAAAAAAATATTTAATTTAAAATTAAAATATATAATTTTAATATTTATTTTTGATAATATTAACCCTTATTCTTTTATAAAAAATTTTACTTAAATATTTTAATATTAATTTAGGTTAAATTATTTTTTTTTTTAAATTTTTAGTTCTATTGTATTATGAAAGTGTAATTATCATATATAATTTTGTATGATGTATATTAAATTATAAAATAGTAAAATAAATACTCATTTTGATATTAAAAATAATACTTCAATTAGAAGAAAAATTAGTAACATAAAATTAAAAGTAATTCTAACTATATAATTTTCTTTTATATTTATTTAGAAAATAAAAATATGTAAAAATAGAATTATATAAAATTTATTAAAAAAAATTAAATATAAATATGTTATAGTTGGATTATCATATACTGATTTTATATGATATATATTAAATTATATGTGGGAGCCATTTTAGCAACTCAAGAAACACCGAAGAGAAAGGCATAAACGACAGTCAAAGGGACCAATGTGACAGACCAGCCGATTATACTCTATATACTCGGCGTCACCTCCAGTTGTTGAGTTCCCTCCGTAAAGTATAGTGAGAGAATGGGTCTTGATGGGATGTGCGACAAGGGATAAAAACCCAGCGAGAGAACTCCATAAAAGGAGGGAAAGGGTTCAGTTACCAGGTATGTGAGAACATTTGTAACTTACTTATACAAAAGATATTTAGAATAGAAAGACTAACTAAATCGTCGGACTGCTAATTCTGGCATCCCCAACCGGATCTGTTCTATTTCAAGTGGCTAGCAAAGGACTGTTCCAAGATCTGCCTGGATAAAGGGGTATTCCAAATCCATTTCTCCACAACTGGCGTCGTCTGTGGAAAAACTCATCCATGACAGATTGTAATAACCCTGATCCACAATTAGCCACTAATCGGTAGTTAAGGATGTTAATTAAGTGAATAAAATAAATTATGGGTTTATTATGTGATTTGCATGATATTTGGCTTTCTATCTGTTACTTATAGAAATATCTGTTTGGAATTTCACTTTAATATGTAAATTGAAAGCCTTATCGGCACCTGAAACCGAAATTGACTCTACCAATATGTTATTTGAAATTTTTAGAACCATATGGCAAGTTTTATTAAAAATTGATTCAGTCAGATTCGTTAAGTCGTGTTTGGCAAGCCTTATGTTCTAATTAGTGTATTTTAGCATCATAGCTTTATATGTGAGGTACAAGCTCATTTTGAGCTCATTTTCTTTTATCCCTTGAGTGGAAAAATCTGGTGAAACATTCTAGAGAGAGAGGGAGCACAATTCTAGAGAGAGATGGAAGAATTGAAGGAGAATTGAAGACCTTGGTTTAGATTCATCAAAACTAAGCTAGAGCTAGATTAATTCAAGACTATAGGTATGAATTCAACTCCTAAATTATGAATCTAAGTTATCAGCATGAAGATTATGTGTTTAAGGGTGTGTGTTGAGCTTAGAATGAAGATTTGAGTTGCAATTCATGCATGCATGTACATTTTCTTACAAATTGAGCATGATTTCCATGAATCCTTTCTGGCATATTTGAAATTCATCTTCATTTGGGGAAATCATCAAGTTTCAAGTTGTTTTGTGGTGTTTGATCATATTTTGAGAAGTTTGATACAAGAAAAATTCATGCATGTTGTACTCATAAACATTCTTGAAGTTTAAGTTGAAATTGGGAACTTTTGGCGAACCCTTGGGCTATGATTTTATGAAATGATCCTAAATTCTTCATGTTTTACAAGTTTACTATGTTATCTCAAGTTTTGGGGCCCAAGAGATGTGTTTTGGAAGGTTAAATTCGAGTTTTGAGCTTGGTGATCAAATCTAGAAATTCCAGAAATTGCATCTATGCTCGAGCGTGGGAGTTCACGCTCGAGCGACCAATCTGAGTACGTGCACTCTACTCTAGCGACGATGTTTACGCTCGAACGTGAAATGCATACACCCAGAAGATCTTGTGTTTTGCAGTCCGCTCGAGCGAGGGAATTCACGCTCAAGCGAGGGTCTGAGTCTCACGCTCGAGCGTAGGTCGAGCGCCCGTCGAGCGTGAAAAACTTGCATCCAGTACTTTTGTCAAGGTTTACAGTCCGCTCGAGCGGGAAGTCCACGCTCGAGTGGGGCTTCATTGTCTACATGTCCGCTCGAGTGAGGGAATCCACGCTCGAGCGTGGACCTTATTTTCAGCAAATCTTGAGAAATGTTTTCCAACGCATTCTTGCATCCTCATTCCATCCTAGGCATTTCTGAGCCATGTTTAAGACTCCATAATGAGGATTAAGGGTTAGAAACACACTAAGAACAAACGACATAAGTTATGTACAATTCGAATGTGTGTTTCAAGTGTATGTTCGTATGTGTGTTCATGTAGGTCACGCGTCTCAGAACAAGTGAAGGGCTGCCTTACCATCTAATTAGGACTACCAATCAACTGTGAGTAATAACTTTGTAAAGTTATGTTTAATGTTAATTATTTTCTGAATATTAAGATGCGAAGTAATTAGTTCTCTGAAATGTCATGCTATATTCGAAATGAATGAATGGTTGTCCAAAATTCTGAAAGTTATTCGTGGCATCCTTAGCATCATATGATATGCATCCCTTTATGGGTCATCAGGTCCCTTTATGGGTCATCAAAAACGTCTCTGTGCACATGAGTCATCAGAATGCCTTTAAGGCCATCCCTTTATGGGCCATCGGATTTGTTAATGCTAAGGGATGTACCACGTATGACTATATGCAAAATCTGAATATGGAAATGATTACGAATATGTATATGAATCTGTTTCTGATAAGAATTTGATTTCTAACTCTGTGATGGACATCATTCATTAAATCCTTTACTCTGTTATTATTCACTAGGCTTTAGCTCACTGTTTGTATATATATGTATATATAGGTGGGCATTCTGGAGATCGAGCCCAAAGGCTTTTGTCTGGAACTGTGTTTCTGTTGTCAGCCAACCATTGCGCCTTACATGGAGGTTCTCAAAGTGTCCTGTATTCAGTCCTATTGATTCTGTATATGTATGAGACTGGATTTGATTATGTTGGCTGTACTTAAGATACTGTAATGTGTGTGGGTATAATGTGTGGTTGACTATCGGATATGTATATAAAGTTTTAAATATTCCGTTTCATATAAGTCAGCACAGCTCATTGGACAACTATATTTATGTATTTGCTTCTGCTAGCCCCTTAATCTTGTTAATCTGTTCAGAGGCCTTCGGTAGTCCAAGGATTACTGGCCGGTTATGATGCTAAACCTATAGGAGCGGGTTTGGGTCGTGACAGAGTGGTATCAGAGCATGAGATAATACCTCACACACGTGTCCATTGAGCATTGGAATGTCTAGAACGAATTTAAGTTTCATGCATATGGGAAATAAGTAGTTAATTGTGCATTCGGGATTATGTATTCACATTTGTGTGATAGGTTTAGGTGTTGAAGCTAAGTTTATGAGCTGTCAAGGAATTGTGATGGTTATAGGGGAAACTCGAATGTGTTTAACAACCTTAGCGATGAGGCTAAAAGCTAAGAAATGTTATGAAATGTCTAATGTTATAAGGGAATCAAGAGTCTTGACTAAAGCATTGGTGAGAATAGGCATGTTGATTTGTGGAAACATAGTATTATGCAAAATTAGAATCTTCAATGAAAGTCATGAAGGTTATATGCGTTATATGTTAAACTGGACCATGAGAACATTTGGAAAATTGAGGAATTTGATGATTAACGAGATGCGTGGAACTATGGTGATTGAGGATGAGAGGAGTCATTTGATATGTAAAATAGTACATTTTAGTGGGAACCTATTATGTGAAATAGTAAACCGTAGAGTCTCATGCCTTTGTAGAATGACCTTGAAAGTCTGATTGGAATCACGTTTGGCCAGCGTGCTTCGAATCAGAAATCCTTGGTAAATTCCTTGGGAATGAATAGGTCACCCTACCAGCGTCCTTATATGTCTATGTGTGTATGTCTACTTGTATACAATGTGTGCTTTGTAATATAATTTAAGTCAATGAATCAACCCAAGCATTGTCAACCATTTTCTTGTGTTTAACCCTTCCCTTCCGTTAATAGGAGGAGGTGGTGAAAAAGTATGAATGAAGTGGAAATTAAGTCTTTATCAGAGTGATGAGGTTAAGTAGAAGAAGTACTAGAAAACGTAGTGAAAGTTATGAATCCTACCGCACATAGCAAGATCAAAGGGAGAATTAAGTGTGGAAGTGAAAAGTGAACCAAGGGAGAAAACTAAGAATTTTGTGGCAGGAGACGAGCAATTCCAGGTAAAGTTGTAAGGGAAGTAAGTTATCCTAGTATGTTATATGTCACAAGATCTATCGGGGATTGTGTCATCGAATTATTGGAAATGTGAGAAGTTTGGGCATTAAATAAAAGACTATCCCAAAACCTAAGAGAAAGCTTAAATAATTTAATTGGTTAAGGATAGCATTTATGTACAAATAGGATTGCTTGAAATTAACAGTTTATGTGTGGGTGTTTCTTTTTTAAATAAGGTTGTGTTATAATG